AGCAATGTAGGGGCCTTTCTAATTACCAATACTATTCTTTTGGGGGGGCTCCTCATTAAAATTATAGTATAATGGGCCGCAAAACCCTATTCTAATTATTGAGGTTAAGGCCCCTATTCTAATTATTGAGGTTAAGGCCCCTATGTTAGGTTCAGGTCATGGAAGCTGCATCAACCGTGCCACAGCCTATCTCAGGCCAAGGCGCCAAGCTCATATCCAGAGCTCTCCGCCCAGAACTTCTGCGGGAGGCGATCCTTGCAGCAGAGGCACCTAAAGGGAGTGGGGCTCAAGGGGTTACGGTTGTAGTATAAATAAAGGTCTAGAGCTTTCTGGCGGCCTTGCAAACCAAATCCTGAGAAGAGTTCGTGGCGGTTACTTTTGTTTGATGTTGGCCGTGAGCTAATCGCTTTGGAAACTTCTCGAAGCAACTGGTCTTTGGATCTGGGTGTGTTAGAAGCTCGCTGTTGCTGGTCTTTGTATACATGTGACACGAAACTGTGTACGTGCTGAACTCCTATGCACATTATCTATGTCTTTCAGTGCTGCCGTCATTATGAGTACTACTTGCTACTGCATGCATACGTACGTACACACATACATGCAGGTATGAAAAAGCATACATATACATAAACACAAATAACACAAACTTGCTTCCACGCAGGCGTGCCTACCAACTTACCTGCCTTCCTGCCTACCTGCCTACCTGCTCATACATACCGTCTAAACTTTCCAAACATTACATGTTACCTACCTTACGTACATGAGCTTCATTACTATCTAATTAACTTACATGCATCGCGAACAATACGATCATTGTACCTTTCATCATGTTTCACAACATTCATACTTCACCACAGTACACTTCACTGCATTCGTTACAGCCCTTACGATCACTACACGTGTTACACTCTTTGCTCACATGAACACCTCACATACCAAGCAAACAGGACAGGGCCCCCCAAGAGGCACACCAACGACAGGATCCGACCAAGGAGGGTCTCTACAAGGGGAATGCAGAAATCCCAAAAACTGCAGCCCTAAAGCCACGTCGCTGGGTTCTGAGAAGAAGCTTCCCCCAGACTGCTTATGGCAGGTAGCGCAGGCCTCGCGGAATGCGGAAGAATAGGAGAGAGAGGGAACAGGGCTTGGGGGTTGAGGCTTCAGGGGTTTGAGGCTTTGGGGGTTCGGGTTTACTAACTTCAGGTGAAAGATGTACTTACTCAATTGCCCTCCTCAAACCTACAATTTACAAGCCCAATCAGCCCGGCACCGGGGCCTAGGTGTTCTTGTCAGAATTGGTTTGGAGGGTCGTTGTGGTACTTTAGAAGCTCAAAAAATACTCAAATAATCCTTTCGGTTCCGGAGTAGGAATTTGCGATAATGTGACACAACAGCCTGTTTTACTCATTTAGCTTTTGGGTGTGCAGGGTTGAGAGTCGAAGGTTTAGGTTTTGTTCCTCTGTGTCTCCCTCTCTCTCTCTCACGCTCTCGCGCGCTCTCGCTCTCTCTCTCGACTCTCTCTCGCTCTTTGCGTCTCTTCCACGCTTGCTGTGTAGTAGGTCTGCTTTATGCCCGACATGAAGCGGTTGCTCTGCGATTACAGGAGTCTTCGATGTACTGACGGTTTATCATGCCGTACCTTCTCACAAGACAGGATCCTCAAACGGGGCCATAGCTCCGAACAGCGTGCCAGGTGTGAAGCAATGCCTGTTCGTGTAGAGCTTGTGGATGTTTGGTTCAGACTTTTCCGAATGCAGGTTGGCCTTTTATTTGCTCAGCGTTTGGGGGTTTGTGCTTTGTGTCTTTAGGATGCATCCCTAAACACTAAACCCTAAAGCTTAAACCGTACATACCTAAGACACCTAAACCCTCAACCCCAAAACCAAACCCGATACTCTTCAAACTAAGGCTGCCTTGAAGGAGTCCTCTTAGAGGAATCTTAGCCCCAGGGATACTTTCACCCCAAACCCTAAGGCCCTAAAGCCTGAACCCTAAACCGTCTAAGCCCTGATCCGTGAACCCTAAACCTCTAAACCCTAAACCCTAAGCCCTAAACCCTAAACCCTAAACCCTAACCCTATCATGTTGTGTTTCGGAGAGAACTTCGAGCTCACGAGGCCGAAAAGCCGGAGGTGGAGCGTGCCGGGTCCCCATTTAACGGGTTTGGTTTAGGGTCGAGCGGGTTTAGTCGGTTTAGGGTTTTTTTAGGGTTTAGGGCTTAGGGGGTTTAGGGGTTTGGGGTTTAGGGGTTTTTAGGGTTTATAGGGTTTCAGGGCTCATAGGGTTGACAGGAAGTTCGATGAGCATATCTGGGGTTTCGATCAGGCTTAAGTTTCATCATTGGCTGCTTGCTTTAATACCAAGGGTTATTTTTTGGGGGGCGGCCTGCGTGAAGCATCGAGAAGCTTGAAGGCTTGGGTCATGGGTTTCATGCTCATCTAAGCAGCCAAGCAGATGGGCAGCACAAAATGACCACCATCGCACACACACACACAGACATGCTTGCGCTCCCTCTTACTCGCACTTGCTTGTGCCACTGACTATCAGCTTCTCCCTATTCCTACCTTTGAGCTGCAAAGGCGAAGTCCCAAATATGCAGCAAAACAAAACCCCCCCGGCAGCTCTTACAAATCGGAGCTACCAAAGCCCATGTATGTACTGCTAGGTTGCATAGAATCCATGGGTCGGTCTGTCGCTATCTGTCTCCTCATCTGCCTATCAACTCACGTTCACCGTAGGTGTTGCAACTTCAAGACTGAGGCAAGATGCTCGTGCCAACCCCTCAAGTCCTAAACCCCAAACCCAGGACTTGAAGCTCTAAGCCCCTAAGCCCGAAAACCCCAAACCCTAAAGCCTAAAAACTCTAAACCCTAAACCCTAAAGCCTAAACTCTAATCCCCTCAGATGCCTTGAACGCCATGGCTAGGCCCGCCGGGCGAAGGAGGAGGAGATGGCAGCCGAAGCTGCGCGAAGTGACGCTGGACCTTAATAAATTCGAAGACATTGGGCTTAGGGTTTAGGGGTTTCGGGTTTAGGTTTAGGGTTTAGGGGTTTAGGGTTTAGGGGTTTAGGGGTTTAGGGTTTAGGGTTTAGGGTTCATAGTTATTCGAAGACATTCCCTAAGGGTCCAAGTGCCTAAATAGTAGGGTTTCAGGGTCCAGAAACCACTCAGAGTATGGATTTTGGGACTCAAAAAAAAGCTATTTGGGTACACGGACCCTCTGGGATTGTCATAGTTGGGTGACACGTTGCATCCTTTTGGGCACCTCAACTGAATAGGGAATAGAAGTTTGAATTTCAATGCTATTCCAACCATGTTCGCTCCTTTAAGGGTTCTCTGAGGGCTTCCTTTAAGCGTTCTGGGTTTGATGGTATGTTACGATGTACTATAATTCTAATACGGACAATAAGCCATTATGAAGGGTCCTAGCGAACAAGGGTTTGATCGCTTTAGGGTTTCGGGTCTACGATATTAATATAGGTTTGGGATTTAGTGTTTAATGTTTGCGGATATCTGTGGTTTTCCTCGGCAAAATTTTTCGTGTTTAGACTAGAACAAGCGCCAGGGGTCATCAACCACCTGAATTAACTTGAACATGGCTTGAAGGGTTTAATTGTGGATGTAGGTTTAAGGTTAAGTCATTTGGTGGTTTAAGGATTCCGGTTGTAGCGTTTGGGGAATTGTTGGGGTGTTACACGGCCCTCTTGCAGGTCTTCCTAGCTATATAGGTCAAGGAATGGAAACCATCTGCTAAGATGTGTCCCGGGAGGAATTGAGCTGGCTTCGGGGTTTAGGTTTTGTTTGGTCTTGGCATACCTAAACCCCTAAACCCTAAACCCTAAACCCTAAACCCTAAACCCTGGGTTTAGGAGTTTAGGTCTTAGAGATCCTTGGAGTCTTCAGCTGCGCTTTCTCGGGTCATGGGCCGGCACGAAAGCTACTTAAAGCACCTGTGCGAACGGATTACACGCGCTTTGCAGTAACTGTGCCCTTCACACATCGCTGAATGGCCTCCGTTTCACTGATTTTACCTTTGATCTCTTCCAATGGGTGTTGCAAAAGTACACTTCATATGAGGTTACAAGTTTGACACGGGAACTAGGGTTAAGGATTATCTTGGCTTTGGGACACAGAAGCGCTGACTGTTGCTGTTCGCGAGTCAGTATCTGGGGTTTAGGGAAGACCAACACTTCACGTCCCAAACCTGAGAAGCTGCAACCCCCAATCGAAGCACCGAAACTCAAAGCTCCGTATAGACCCTTCTAAAACCATCATGAGCCCTTCGCAACCCCTTGTAGAATCCTTCAAGTAGCACGGATGGAACCCACGCAAAAACACAAGCAAGCACCCATGCAGCAGAGGTTGCAGCCACGAAGCAGAAGAGCGCCTCGGATCAATGAGACAGGGGCCTGACAGGTGCTTAAGTATTAAATATTCTTCCGGGCTGGTCATTATGATTATCATTCCCAGTCGTTGTGTGTGTGTGTGTCTATTTCTCGTGTTATAATCGGTTCAAGACTTTGTTAAGGTTTAGGAACACTGTTCAGTTATCGAGTTTCGGGGAATGGAGTTTAGGGTTGACGTTGAGGGGACAAAGTAGACTAAGATGGGGGCCTACAGAACTGCCTATATTGTTCCGTACGGTTCCTCGTGATTCTTACAGCATGCTACAAACCGGCCGTCCGAAGCACCTGATAATTGCGCACCTGGCTTTGGAGAGTATAGTGGTGGTTTATGCGAGTGTTTTGGGAGTATGTGATTCTGACCCTTGGCCAGGATGCAACCGCGATAAAACCCCGAGACATAGAACCCCTAAGCAACCGGGCTCTAGGTTCCCCTCCCATTACGATTTTCTTTCTTACCCAACGGTGTGCTTCGAGTTTAGTTTTTTTGATAGTTGCCTCAAGACTATAGTAGACAACCACTAAACCTTAAACCCTAAACCCCCTAAGCCCTAGATACCCTAAGTCAAAAAGCTTCCGAAGCCCACCATCTAAGGTAGAACCCATGGGCCCCTAGTATGGGCCCTTAACCCTGTGACCCTAATTTACCTACTATATACCCTATGTATACCCTTAAGGGACCCTAGAATCTGCTAAGGGCCCATGTTAGAGACGCCTAGACCCTAAACCCTAAACCCTAAACCCTAAACCGTACCAGAAAGACGCCTGAGAAGCCTGCGCCCTGGACGGAGGAATAGCCGAGGAAGCGCGACAGCAGGAAGACCTGAGCCGGGTGAGGCCCGGAGATGTAGAGGCCTTAAGA